TAATAATCTTAGTAACAGTAGTAATCGTAAAAATCACTAAAATATAATTATCAATGAAGTAATAGTAAAATGGAATGAATATTAACAATGTTATATGAACTATTTGATTCTTTTAATACATTATCGAAGAAGTCAGTTTGAGATGATGGCAATTTCCATTCTCTCTTTAAATGAACGGGCGAAAATTTTAGAATATAATGAGAAAATACGATTTCAATTCATAAAAGGTTTAATTTGATGACACTCTTTTACCATAATGTTACTTAAAATAACTTCGTTTTGATTCAATTCAATTTTTTGGGATGCAGAGAACAGATCATATCGAACTTATCACAGTAACTGATAAATGTCAACAAATTGCATCAACATCGTATCATTACATCGTATCATAATCATGCGATTCATTCATGCTTAGTGCTCTTGGTGTGGTGTTTAGAACAATAACGAGATTTTAACAACATTTGAAAACGAATGATTATTCGGCACGAAATAACAGCTAACTTACGTCGTGCAAAGTGCATTATTCTCTTCTTTATCCTTCCTGCAAAATGAAAGCAGAAATATTCACATTCGCATCTTCGTCAAAATTCCAATGAATATCATTTAAATAATATCGATAGATAAAGGAACAACGTTAAATAAGACGGAGGTTAAAAGGGACAAAGACAAGTTAAGCAATCGATGATTTGTAGAGAGAATGAGTGGATGTTTGGATACTTTTGTTGCAAAACTTTTTCAAAATTTTGAAAATTTTCGAAATCGAAAGAATTTGCACAGAAAAAATTCATCAAATATTCTTCTTTCCAGTATTATTTTTATGCAACGAAGAATGAAAAGTAAAGTGAGTCCAATTCATCTCACTTTTTTTTGGTTTCAAGTACTTATCTATTTATCAATCCAAAATGGTGGCTCCTCAATAATGTTCGAACGTCATTTATCGTCATAAGATCTGATGGAAGAGCGTCATTTATGGTCATACAATCTGACGTAAATTAAAGTTCGAAATTGCAATTAATGTCGCCCCTCATGGCCATACAGGATGCAGCAATTTTCATATATCTTCATTTTGCCCTCTAATATCCAATTTTGCTCAGTGCTCACATAGGGAATAACACTAAAATCTAGCATTTCTAAAAGTAAAGTATCACGAAAAACGAAGTTTTTTATGCAATACGCCACCATTTGATTGCAAGTATCGCTCGCCGATTAGACACTGCTTGCAATAAAATGACATAGTAATATCTCACATCTTATCTTGAGCGATCCAATGAATTGATCCCTCAAATCCATCAATCTTCTTCAGAAAAATGCTCAAGATTAGCCAAAATTTTCGGCAAAATTTTGTAAAACTTCAATGAAAGAAACTATGGAATTTTCGCTTTCGCTCATTCATAATATTACGTTTAGATAAATGTCTCACAATATTAATTCATTTGGGGAATATGAAAAACTTTCATTTTATATTTGGTGGAATTTCTATTTCTATACGGAATCCAAACCGGAAAAGAAAAACAAAATTTTTCGGAAAAAGTTAGATGGTTGATGCGCTGCCTGGTGATAAACCACTGGACTGGCGATGTGAGTGTGGATCAATCAGCCTTATGCTCCTAATCCAACAAACCTAATACATTGACAAACAAACGAAATGATGGCGATGAAAGGAGTGGTTTCAGAGTGCAGAATTTGTTAGGGGTGTGGTGTGTGTGTGTTTGTGCTCAATGAAATTGCTGCCTAATGTGCTGCTTACATTCAACTCAAGTATAAAGAACGCAAGGCGCATAATTTGCAACCTATCGCAATCCAAAAATCCGAAAAATTTCTCGCAAATGGAACTTCCCATAATCTCATTCAACATTTCAAAACAAACCAAAACTGAGAACATTGAGTGGATCGTCACAATAGATGACAAAAAACACGCAAAATTTCATACTTTGCACTCCCAACCTAGCATTTTTAAGGAAACCACACAAACAGAGAGAAGATAATTTGAGAAGTCACCAAAAGAGGAGTAGATCATAGAAAAGTACAGAATTGAGAAGGGAATGAAATCTTTTTTNTTTTTTCACAAATTCAATTTTCGATAATTTCCAAATTCACTAATACTCAAAATGAATTCAACTTGTTTTGAACTAATCATGAAAATAGCTATCGTGTTGCATAACAACACGTTTTAACGCAGTAGACACTAAACATGATTCATAAATATGAAAATTTCATAGTATCAGCCGCAAAAACTTCTCAATGTTAAAATTGTACACTAAACTTTTACGCGAACCATTAATTCAAGCAATAAAGATAAGGAATTCAACGATGGACAATTCAAGGAAAACAATCAAGATTCTCGGAAAATGAATCAATTGGAAGCCAAATGGCTGAATGCTTTGCATTTTAGAGGATGTAAAAGATGAATGAATATACAATTGCAACAATAATACTTACGCGACACATGAAGTGAGAAACATAACGCTGATTTAGATACGTGGAAGTATTGTCTGAGTATGACGATGTGAGTAAATAAATGAAGACACAAATTGTGATTAAGTTGATGCGATTGGATTAAGTAGATTCAATTCAATTCAATTCAGTGCAGTCAGTTAGCCACAAATATCTGCTGTCGTTGATAATATCCGAGTTCTTGTTTGCATATTTCGAGCAAATACAAAAAGGCACCTTCTTCATAAAAGGCATAAACAATTGCTGATAAACAAATCAAGAAGGAACTGAACAATAAACAATTAACAGTAATAAATAAACAAGTGAATACAATTATTCTTCAGGCTTTTATAAACTCAGGCCTCTCAAAAACTCAGTAATAAGGCCGCGTTCAAATGCTCAGAGTAGATGAGGATTTGAAAAAATTCACAATACAGTCGTATAAATGCAGGTAGAAGTGAGAATAAATTTTTTGAAAGGTTATGTGATATGTGACGGATTTTGCAAGAAGGACACACGACACGATACAGATCTATATCATCATCAATCAACCACTGCAGCAGTCAATATCTATAATGGCTTTTTGGGCTTCTTGCAGCAACGATCAATGAGTGACTTATGAGTTAGTGCCAGCCTTTAGGTTTATATGGGTGGCAATTGAGTGCGTTTATGAGGTGAACGTATTTGTGATCGTATGAATGAATGGATGGGTAAATAAATATAGGTATGAGAATATAGACAGAAGGCACGAACAGAGCTGTGTAAAATATGATAATGTGTGCAATTGGAACGAGTCGTTCAATACAAAAAACAACAATTTTTTCGTGATGGTTATTATTGGCAGGTATGTAGGTAGGTATTATGATTATTATTGTTTGTGATAGTTTCGTGGTGGTGGTGATGCTTTTTGATGCAGTGATGTGTGCAAGGGTGATTGATGTTGGGATGTCACGAAACCTGAAATTTTAAGAGAAAAATTAAAAATTTTGAAAAAAACCAAACGCGTACAATACCTCAACGGTGGTGGCGGTGGCTTCTCGTCATATATCGATGACATCTTTTCATAAGACGAGATAAATAAATATCAAATGAGCGATTGCTTGAAATTGTTCTTGCAAACACGATAATCACGCTAGATTTGTTAATAGGACTATTGTTGGTACGGAAGCTACAATCAGAGGACACAAGCCATTCAAAGGGGCTCAATCCAGAAGCGTAGCAGCAGCGTGAAAGGTGCTGGTTGGTTGCAGTTAGTGGAACAGCTGCAGATTGAAGCAAACAGAAGTTGAGGAGACGTTGCAGAAGTGAATAATGCTGAGTAACGAAATGTGATCAAGCAGTAGCAGCGATTCAGATGGAATAATTCGATGTGATGTGATCCAATCAGCAATTTCAATAGTGCTCGTTATGAACAGCAAGGGTGTGAAGCAGGGCAGAAGATGAACACAGAAACTGTTCAGTTATGAATGAATGGTATCCGTTTGAAAATATGTAAGTGTACTGACTGGAGACACGACTCGTAGATTGCCTGCCGTAACTTGAGCAGTCAGTAGCTTTGGGTTAAGGTCTTCACACAATCAATGCCAATCGATCTGCACAGCAGCAATTAGCAGCTGAAAGAGCGATAAGAATTAGTAAGAGCTGGCTGAACAAGCACAGATTGAAACTGAGGTTATTTTTGGTTGAATTGACACGGTTATTAATACAAACGAAGGGTTGACGCAAACGGTATAACACACAGGAGCGCTTGAATTCGTCCATTGATAGAATTCGATATCATATGATAATTGATCATGTCACTTTATCAAATGACTGATATCAATGTGAAAACGACTACTAAAAACAATGGTCACTGCAGTCAGTGTACGAGCAACTAGAAAATTAATTAAGAGCCTAGTCCAGTGGTCTTCACGTTCGGTTGCTCCACACCGCTTCGATAGTCTAGCACAAGTCATTACCTCCCCCCCCCCCTTCCAGCTGCAATAATTTACTATTTCCACGCATAACCTCAGAACTACTCTCTCAATTCCCTCCATTACCCTTTGACAAACCCAAATTACCCAAATGGGTAATTTTCCCTTCCCTATGGGGACCCCTGGCCTAGTCAATCAGTTCATTAATAATGGACAGCACAGTTTTAATTTTTAAGGAAGCAGAAGAGGTGCTATTGCAAAATTCGAATGAAGTTTCAATTGAAAAGCCTATAAATTCAAAACAATCAATTAATATTTCAAATGTAAGCACAATAAATTGTTGTTGTTTTTAGGACACGTTGCACACAGCGTTTTTAGCAGCAATTCGAACGAATGCACGAATAACGAATGCTATTAATGGATTAATAATAGCGTCAAATGATGTGTAAAATTCATTGAACGTGCACACACACACAAACACTCAAGAATAAGACGCCAATAAACGTACTGTATGATTTCGGATGATAAACTATTGATAAGGAATGATAACGATTCACTATTGATTCGAATGATTCAATCAACCATCATATATGAACTGATTGAAATCGATTCTGATATCGTTTGATTCGACAGAAATTTGATCGGTAATATGATTCGATGATCGATTATCAACAATAACAATATTACAGATAATAAATATTTTTATCAAATACACATTTAATCACTTCAGTCGCATAAAAATTCACCTGAAATTTTGAGATAATCTTAAATTTAAAGTCGGCAATCTAATCTATGAGTTTTAAAATTCACAACGAGCGCTTCAGCGGTCAGAACGACACTGAACAACTAGAACACTTAATAGATGCGATTCGAAATGAAAAGACAACAATTTCAAACGAAAAGACAATTTGAAAAACGAGCGTAACGTGAAATTTTATAAAATGCAAACAATAACGATCAAAATGAAGCTAAAAATAAGCAAAAACTGACAAAAAAACTTTAAAAACTCTTCATGCAAATCAAATCAAACGGAGCTGAAGCAAACGGAATACGCATTGAAACTTAATTGCACAACTGAAAAAATCTGAGATCGTATTACTTTTTTGCAATAATCATATTTTTGAGAAATATTTATGTATATGAACTGAACTAAAAATTCATAATAAGTGCATAAC